AATAAAAATCTGGAAACTTAGAATTTTACATATAAGCCAACTACTGAGTCTGCTCGGCTGGCTCAGAACAGATGCAGTGAGCAGCATTGGTGGCGTATGCAGCGCGTTGTCTGCTACTGAAGCTTAAGCGCGAAACACATGTACGACGAAACCGTCCGATCTGACGTCCGACCACGCAATACGACGGTCGGAGGCGAGGGTTTTCAAAGCTCTCCGATGCTACGAAAACCCTCGCTCCCAAAGTCATTCCGGCAGTCCGCACGTCGGATCGGACGGTTTCGTCGTACATGTGTTTCATGCTTTACTGCGTCTGCACTGAGCTTCCCGTTGCCCCAGCAGCTGTCAAAACGCGGAGCACCGTCCATCCATCAGCGAGTTCCCCCTAACAGTAGGTAGCTCTATACATTCCTACTGGCAAAGGCTTGCTGTATCAGCAAGCTTTTGCCAGTAGGTGGCACATTTCCATGTGCCAGCAGGCACATGGAAATTAAGCTATTTGAAACATGAACTTGCCTTCTGCATGGAGTCTCCAACTCCACCTTCAGGGAGGTTGTTGAGAATCCTTGGCACTGCTACTCTTGCCTTCTGCATTTTTTGGATGAGAAGTTCAACTGTCCCTGCGAAGATTGTGGGTAACGTGCCAAACCATAGCATTACTTTTGAAAATTAGAACAAGCAATCACGCACATCACATCGCCTCGCACTAGTGGAGAACATGAAAGCTTCTTATGTTCTGATTTCAAAACGTCTTAAGATGGAGTGACTCCATTTTTAGCACACCAGCTTACGGAGCCTTTACTCGACTAGCATAGGTGTCTAATAGCGAGTTCGTTTCACACGCACTGGCGCTGTTCGAGTTCTCTCCCAGAATGCATCGCACTCGCAGAGTGTTGCACGGAGAACTGGAATCAAACGAACTCGCCAGATGCACCGAGTGCAGAAAACCAAGTCCAGAAAACTGATGCTGTCGCCATCTATGTCATGGAAAAGGTACCAACCTCAAACCGAAAATAGTGTTTTTCTGTTCGGAGTCATGGGTGGAAATGCGAGAGTGCAGTCGCTACCAACGTTTATCTACAAACGTTGGTCGCTGCAACCTGTAGTTTATCATTTCGTCGTTTACCCTGAGACTGGGGGGTCTCAGGGTAAACGACGAAATGGTTGACTTCCACCAGCTAGCCTGTACTTTGACTCTTTTCTAAAGTTTATATTTGCGATGACTTCAAGCAACTGGGCTGTCGTAAAGATGGTTACAGACGGCGTAAATTTCCGCAGCCAGCTGTCTACAAAGCGGCTGGTTGCGATCTCTTTATAGCCGCTTACACTGAAGAAAACTGATGATGCTGTCCGAGCAGAAGCTTGACCCATTTGAGCATGGTATCATACGTGAACCACTGAAAGGGTACGGCTTAAAAACTTGTCTCTTGGAATATCCAGCAAAACTTTTCGTGGGACTTTCGATTTCGATCATCATTACAGGTGAATCAGGTATCAGCCGTGGTGAGGCGTCGAGAAAGAGCTTTCTCGAACAAAATACGACGGGGTACCTTAGCTTACGTAGGTAAACGTTAAACATTTGTCGACAAAACACGAGTTTTGTCGACAAATGTTCAATTTTTCACCCGCGCACGGATGGTGATAAACACATCGAGGGCCGCTGATGCGTCTGTTCTGAGCATTTCTTTACACACCGGTATATTTCAGCGTCTGTACGGCAACGGAGCGACTTAAAACCTGCAAATAAAGCACGGTTTGTCAGTTGCTTCCTTCATGAAGTAGCAGACGCTTACAATTCAAGCTCGCATTTGATTCCTTTGCCCGCGGGACCCGATTTCTATCAAAAAATCTATTTTTTTTTCCTTTCGGTTCTGCGACACATCGTAGCAGACGAGTCCTCGTCGTCTGCTCATCGCTCCTCGCCGGAGCGAGGCATGACGGGATTGCATTTTGGCGCACTCACGATTTCCTCGGTGCAGCGAGTCCATGCACGCGTGGGGTGTTGGCGCTGAAACGAACTCTTAAGCGCGAAACACACGTACGACGAAACCGTCCGATCCGACGTCCGACCGCGCAATACGACGGTCGGAGGCGAGGGTTTTCAACGCTCTCCGATGCTACGGAAACCCTCGCCCCCAAGGTCATTCCGGCAGTCCGCACGTCGGATCGGACGGTTTCGTCGTACATGTGTTTCGCGCTATAGAGTGCAACCACTCGCGGAGTGCCGGCTGAAACGAACCCGCTCCACGTTGCGAGTGGGCACGCGTGGGCACGAGTGCCGTGAAACGAACTCGCTATAAAACATTTCATGCGTGACGCTCATGGGTGGCGCTTCACCTTTGTTTTTGTTCCTCGAATGCAGCCTTCACACTAAAAAAGTACAGTACATGCATTCGTAACACCCGTTTTCAAATAGCCCGAATTACAGCTTTTGTGAAACCATGTGCCTTCACTGCGCAAGTACTTGAACGATGGGGGCATTTGTTAGAAGTAAGGCGCACTTGTTCGTGCCCGGCCGCCCTGCTCCACGTGCGTATTAGCTCACACAAAAATCTCCAGAACCGACGATTCCTGAGCATGGTATCTTAAAAAAGGTATCACACGAATACACATACCTCCAAGCATCTCCACCGTCGCTTCGTAGTAGCCTTCTTCCCCTCCTTTCTCAGAGATCCAGAACGCTTCAAGCTTTTGTTTTGGGTTGCAGTCTTGATCATCCCTAGGCCTAAACTTCTTTATCATCGAGATCGGCATAACCAGTCGGCCACCGTCGGTAAACTTTACAAATGCGTACATCGCCCAACGGACGCCCACAACACCCGCGACGCAAAAAAACCGAGCGTACGGGCGGTCGAGGTCCAGCCGTCCACCTCTAACGGTCGAGCAATGATGGGGACGCGGGCAAGCAACGATAAAGCAATTATGGCGACGCAGACGGTCAAACGCAGGCACGCAAGAGACGACAGAAAGCGCGCGCAAGACAGGGACTGGGCTTGGCTAGGCTGCGCCCACTGGCTGCGCCTGTATGAATAGACAAATAAACAAAATTGACTTATTTTTATATTGGACGGTAGCTCGCGCCACCTAGGTTTTAAGAGACGAAAGCAGTTTTTTTTTGGCCTCTAACTTTTTATTTTGGTTTTGGTAAGTCTTGACATTTTGGCATCTTGCTGGAACTACGTTTTACTATACTCCGTTCCACCATCAGTCCAAGCGCAGTGGACGCCACCAGCTATTCCAGCCTATCCAGCGCCGGGAGAAAATCGCGTGACCTGCCGGTTGGGCAGAGCGGCGCAGGGAGCTCAAGGTCACATGACACTCTCTCTACGCGGGATTGGCTTCGATGGCTCCTAGCGTCCGCTGCGCTCGGACTGAAGGTTAAACGGAGTATAGTTCTATTTTATTTTTCCGGTGTAAGAAACCGGGTTCCGATTGCTCACAAACACCTAGAACGTAGTCAATCCAAGTCTCATTGACTATGGTCTCCATTATCCTTTCAACAGGTGGCGCCAAGTTCTTTGTCTGTTAAGTTTTAGCTGCAATGGAAAGCTCACCGGGTGCCAAGCGTCGGAAATGTTACTTGGCAGAGAGTGAGCCTTTTGTGATGCCTAGATCAACGCAATATTTTCACAGTACAAGGGATGCTCAGGACCCTGGAGACCCCCCTCATGACGTGCTCACCCCGTTAACTCGAGTTCCCCAAGCACTAAAATCCGCTGGGAATAATTCTGATGACGAGGACTGCCATTCCGAAGAATCCGAATTGAGCACAGATGCCGAACGCGAGCGTTCGGAATCGTTAAATGCTAGCGACGAGAGCTACGATGTTCAAGACGACGTCGTGAACTCTGGTGAGGACTATGGAGATGATGATGACGAGATGAATGGAAATGACCCTGTACCACAGCCCTTGCTCGAACACTTTCTGTCGTCCTGTTTCAATCAGTTCGGGACGGAGACACTTCCCCATTCTACGACGACAAAAGCCGGCGCCATCGCCATGATAATGGCCCACGTCGTATCGCAGGGCATGACGTGGTCGGGCCTCGATTCTTTGCTCGTGCTCATCAATGCCCTGTTTGGAAGGCAAGTCGTGCCGCAAAGCAAATATGCTTTCCGCAAGCTTTGGTCAGCAACGACGCAAAACTTGGTTCGCCACTACTACCTTTGTGAGGGCTGTGGAGCAGTTCTGGAAGACGCAGAGACTGCAGCCAGCTGCTCAGTGTGCCAGCAAGGGATAGATCTGAAGGTGCTAAAAGAGAATGGATCCTACTTCGTAATGCTTGACATGACGAAGCAACTGTCCTTCGTTATTGAGAAGACCAAGGAGCTTCTTCACAACAACCTCCTGAAGCTTGCCATGGAACGTAGTACCTCATCAAGCGGAAGTGGTGTCACTGACATAACAACAGGTGAAGCCTATGATGCTCTGCGCAGAAAGACTGGGATGGGGGACAGTGATCTTTCTTTGACTTTTAACACAGACGGCAGTCCTCTCTTCGTGTCATCCAAAACGTCTGTTTGGCCTATTCAATTCACTGTGAATGAGCTCCCTCCAAGCATCCGCTTCAAGCACACCACACTAGCCGGACTTTGGTTCGGAAAAGGCCATCCAAACATGACTGCCTTCCTCGCAAAGTTTGTTGATCAAGTCAAAAGCATGACGCCCGTGATGTGGGAGCATAGCTCTGAGATGCACAGGTCCAGAGCTTATGTGCTCTGCTGCTGTGTCGACGCACCTGCGAGGGCAGCAGTTCAGAACATGGTACTTTTCAACGGCTCGTTTGGATGTCCCTGGTGCCTCATAAGTGGGGAACACCTGGAAGGTATGTATCGGTCTTCTTGCACGTGCACATTGCAGTTCAAACTAAACATTATGTTTTTCTGAGCCTACTGGGTGCAACCTCATAATATATTTTCGTTTATTTTTATTCACAGGAAGCATGCGCTACGTGCCCAAGGAACCACCGGCTCCAAGAACATCTGAGCTTGTGGTCCAAGATATGCAGCTTTCCTTGAGATTGGGGATCACCATAAATGGAATCAAGGGTCCTTCTCCGCTAATGAATCTACCAGGTGTGGCTTTTTCCCTGAATGTCTAAAGAACAGGGTGAGATTATCCAAGGTTCAAGCGATCGAAGCAAACTGTTTCACACTGAGAACAGAAAGTATTAGTCACACAAAATCTTTGTGATTTTGATTCTGTTTTCGAATAGCACAATGCTCCGCACGTTAATCACTTAATTGTGCTAATCTCTTTGGGTTCCGACTGTACTCTGATATGTTACATTCTTACTTTCTGAGATTATGAACTACATACTTTTGTACTCTCAATGCACTGTTGATTTGCAAATGTTCAGTAGCAGATGCTCAGCGAAGATGACCACAGCCGTGCCCCCAATTTCTCCCCAAGGTCTGTTAGCTGATGTTACGACGGGCTACTTGGATGCGCTGTGAATTAATTTTCTATTTTAAGTTTGCAAGCCAATACTTATTTCAGGCTGCAACAGTGGAAAAATCGGTGATCAGTGGCGCCCAACTGAAAGATGCGAAGTACTTTGCACAAGCATACTGACACAAGCGTGACACAAGTATACTCACACGTAACACTGCTGAGCCACAAGTTTTGTGGTTGCTGTGTAATCTCAAGAGAAAGACAAGACTGTTCCCTTCCTTCCCTCCTTTGCAAAGCTTGGGGAAAAATTCATAGGGCCACGGCAGAGGCAGGGCTAGCATTCTGCCTTCCTATGCTTGTAAGAGTGCCACCTCCCCCCTAATTTTTTTTTTTTTTCTCATAAGCTTAGCCAACAGTGGTCTCTAAGAAAGATGCCGTTGAAACAGACAGTAGAGGCAGTACATACACGCAAATTTCTTCTGAAATTCACGTCCATGCTCATTTGTACGAAGCGCTAAGAAGAGCATTTTGTAATGGTTTTCGATGGTAAAACCTGTCAATATTCTCTGATCGGCAATCGACCGTTCAATAAAATTGTACTCTATTTCGGTTTCAGAGAAACCTTTTGGAACACCTAATTGATGTTTTGATTTTCCAATTCACAGAGTAGCTGACCAGCATACTTGCGGAGTTAATATACTAATATTTTTTCTTTCACCGAAAAAGCAGGAGGTACACTAAAAGATTCAATGTCATGAACTGTTACCAGCTATACTCTTGGAATTATTGAACTTGTGATTTGTCAGTTGCATGCTTTTTTGCAGTCCCTAGAGTTAGAAACTGAGAGACATGTAACATTTACTTTCAGGATTTGATCTTGTGGCCGGAGTGAGCGTCGAGTATATGCACGCCGTTCTTCAAGGAGCAGCAAAGCAGTTTACAGAACTGCTGCTTTCTTCATCCAACTCTCAAAAACGGTTCTACATAGGTACGTCGTACAGTACCAAAATGTCTCATTTCCAGTTACAAGTTGGCGCATAAGTTGCTCTTTTCATAATTTGTGGCACCTCTTCGACCTATTTTTACCTTAATGGTGTTTACCAGGCCAATTCCTGACTTGAATCTTTACATACTAGTACTATTCGCGTTTCCTGCTCGTTACTTGCCCACTGAGCAGAAGCAGGGAGTTCTCCAGTGAGGGTCCCCCCTTGTTACTAGCTCCACAGTCCGGGCAAACCTAAAGATGTTGCAAACCTCCCAAGGTTCGAGTTCGAAAGTTTGAAGATATTGAATACTTTGAACCTTGCAACCTCGGACTTTCAGTCCGAGATCGCAAGGTACAAATTTTATGGGGTCTGGGTTTCGCACAGTCTCAAATTCATCTTCATGCTATTAATCATTTTTATCAGAATATCTTCTAGGTGTAACTCTATATATAGCAGCATTTTCGTCCACTTTGAAGCTGACACAATAGCCATTAGTGGTTGCCAAGGTTTTGCCAAATCTCCAGATCTGGAAAATCAGAATTTTAGCTTAACCTTCAAGAAGATTAGGCATAGATTGGGCAAAATAGAATTGCCAGGCTGGTTGACCGATTTTGATTAGCTCTACAGCTGCTTGTCACATTTTTTAATATGTATCTAAAACTAAGTATATTTACAGATACATATAACAATCGCTAAGCAAAATGTTATCGATACAGGTGTCTTTGTTAGCTGCTCCAAATTTTCAAAAAAATAAAACATGAAATAGGGTAATGTGAGCCCTGAGGCAGTGTTAGTAGCCATGGTGGCTACTAGAAAAAAAGGCGAAATTAGGTAACAATTGTTAGCGACTAACTCAAATGTTATATTAACTTTTCAGTTTTTCACTTGAGTGCACCTAATATGTCTAGAGGATGTAGGCTTGACCTCAATATGGTCTAACGGTGCCATTAAATTTTGATTAAAGAATTTGTGGTAGGCACTATGGGGTCGAGAAATGTCACGGTACTGAGCATCGGACTGAAACAAAGCGGACAATCGCACCGGTAATGTCATCGCTTTGCATGACACTGCTGACGTCCCCTGTGGCGGGGCACGTGAATCGACGTTATTGCAGCCGGCTTCACTTAAACAAGCCAAGCCGGCTGCGATAGCTTCAACCCACGTGCCCGCACCGCAGCTGACATCAGCAGTGTGACACAAAGCAATGAAGTCACCGGCGCTTTTGCTCTCTTAGTTTCAACTTGGCACCGTGTACCAGGGTGACATTTCTCGGCCCTGTAGCGTTCACAAATTTTTAACGAGAATTTGACGGCACGGCTAAACCATTATAAGGTCAAGCTTAGTTCATTAGCTAACTAATTACCCAAATTTGCCTTTTTTCTAGTGGCCACCATGCCCCGGGCCCAATTTACCCTACCTCCCATTTTCTTTTTTCTTTAAATTTTGTTGCAGCTAATAAAAATATTACGTATAGTAATGGTAACAGTGTCATTTTAGCATGTTTATTTACAAAACAACGTTGATTTTCTTCAAAATGGTCACGGCATTCAATTTTAGTTTGTGTTTTGCAAAATCATAGCATGGCTGCCCATCTTTGATGGCCAGAGTGCATCCAATATATGCTTTATGTTATGTCCACTGTATTTTGCTGATTGTCACTCTTTGTACTTGCACGGCGCACTGCACATGCTTGATCTATGGCTTTTGAGACCACCCACAACCACATTTGCAGAAGCTGACAAACATACAGTGCTGTCACCACTTGTTAACATGTAGTGTAAGCTTCTACTTCGCTGTGAAATGGACTTTCTGTACCACGTCGCTTTGGCCATGCCGAAACCAGATCAAACATCGAGCTGACCTGTTGTCTGATATGTGCTTGTTCCTCAGGGTTTGACTTTTCACTTTTGAACCTCGGGTTTGAGCCTCAAAATTCTGGGGAGGCGAACTTTCATGAATACATTTTCGAGTGGTTGTACTTTGTACACAGCCTCATATATGGTTATTAAAGCAAGATAAATTACTCATGTGCCCAGTCACTTATGTTGCTTACAGGAGCACCATCCTGCGTGGCACGGGTCAACAGCCGCCTCCTCCAGATCAAGCCACCACACTGTGTGACAAGGCTGCCTCGTTCACTCAACGAGCGCAGTTTCTGGAAAGCGTCAGAGTGGAGACTCTGGCTTCTGTTTTATGCTCTTCCTTGCCTCGTGGACATTCTGCCTCTGGAGTATTGGAAACATCTCTCCAAGCTCTCGCAAGCAATACACATCTTGCTACGTGACACCAACACAGCCGACGAGATCAAGCGTGCAGGTAAGCTTCATACTTTTTTTTCTCCTATTTGCCTCATAAAGGTCTTTTTTTTATACCGTATGACAGTCTCATGGGAGTGTCAAGATCTACCCGCATTGATTAGACAGAATGTTGTGTGTAAAGTCTCAGAGCATGCAAATCAGGTAACTGTGGTAGGAAATCACACCCAAAAATCATCCAATGAGCTGCACGGCATTTGAAATTTCAGTTAATGTTATGCATTCATTTTATAGTCTGAGATTATATCCTGTGCATGCTTCTTTTTTTGTTTTCAGAAAATCTGCTGATCGACTTTGTTGGTCGCTGTGAGGCCTTGTATGGAGTGGCTTCGCTTACGTTCAACGTGCACCAGCTCCTCCACCTGCCAAACTCCGTGCGTCAGTTGGGACCACTTTGGGCGCAATCCGCATTTGTTTTCGAGGGAGGAAACGGAAAGTTGGTGAAGCTGGTCTCTGCAGCTAGAGGACTTCCGGATCAAATCATAGAGCGAGTCGTAATGACGCAGCAGCTTGAATGCCTTCTGGCAGATAGCAACGTGGCAATCACTGCCAATGAGCGGAGTGTGTGTGAAAGATTTCTTGATTATTCACACATCCAGAATGCCTGCTATGTTGATGAAGCATGCTTGCTAGGACGTGAAAAAGCTGCCATTCTAACAGCTATCGAGGAACGTGCGCTAGAGGTCTACGGTGGGACAGGCACAGTTGGCAGCGCTTTGGAATACCAGCGTTTTGTGTACAAGGGGCAGGTGTTCCATAGCACCGCATACACAAGAGCTTCAAAGAGTGACACCACTGTAGTGTCAACTGCTGATGGGGAGTATTTCAGAATTAAGAGAATTCTCCATGTTGCTGGTCTCGGGTGCACGCTCCTTTGCAGACGGCTGGTGTTACGGGAGACACCACTCTTTCCTGAGCATATAAAGGAATGTTTTCCTTCGCAGGTAGACATCTGTAAGGTGCTGAAACCCGAGGACATTAAGGCCAACTGCCTTTTCATGGTGTTTCCGGCTGACAGCAAGTGCTTTGTGTGCGACATGCCGAACAAAATTGAGAGGGACTAAAGTTATTTAACATGTATACAGGGCTTTTTTTTCCTCATTCTTTACAGAATTTAAAAAAGCGTGTGTTGGGTACATAGATTCCGTCTTCTCTGTGTACTTCTGGGGCTCGGCAGACATTAGATGAGTGGATAAACGTCACAATATTTTGACTAATTAATCAAAATGTGTTGATTGATGTTTTAATTAACAGTTTAATGGGCCACATACACTATCAGTTTTAAAGAGCGCAATGTCTATCTGCCATTTAAGTGATGCGACAGCTCTCTATGCTGTAGATGAGCAATTTAGCCAGTGCAGTGTAACCGCTAGACTCGGGTCTTTAATGTGCATCATGCAATAGTAATACACAAACATGTGCCAGCACGATGCTCATCCAGATCGAAATGGGTAGGGGTTGTGGATAGAACCGAAGAATATTACCGCTTGCATGTGATCGCACATACTTCATTACTTTTCTCTTTCAAACTTAAAATGCATTTGGTGGTGCATGTTTGTGCACTTTTTGGCTTGAGTTTGCTGTGCTGCGCTTGAGCAGACCTCTAAAGAGGGTAATACCTTCTTTTGGGTAATGATGCAGAGTCGTTGCATTTCATGCTTTGTCATTGTTGAACTTCACTGTCATCAACCATGTTCTATTTATGTCCTTTGCTGCTTGTTTTAGATGCTATATTCTGTCAAAATGGTTTTATTGTGTAAAGCATTGCATATTATCAAATGTACTAAAGTGGAAAGAAAAATAAAGCACTGCTGCCTGATTGCACTAAGGGATAAAGACCACTACCGGGTGGTCTGTGTGTCGGGCCCAGACTTAAATAGACCTAAAATTCGGATTTCTGAAGTACAACACTGTAATTTACCATACAAGTTCAGCTAGGTGGTGGAAATTTTATATGTGATAATATTGATGAAACTTGCTCGAGTCAAAAGTTACAAATAAAAACATAAAAAGTTGCATGAGCCGACATGTGGTTAAGCCTTTTCCTCTCAAAGCTAGAAAACGTTCTGGTCCACTGGAACGTTTTATGAACAAAAACGGGGAACACCAGTAAGATGAGAGCTTTTTCTTTCCCTTGCACTTTTTGTTAAATAAAACGTTTTAATGGCCTACGAGGATGCTTTTTTGGTTTCGGAATGAGTATTCTTGTGTATTCCTTCGTAACTTTTGACTGAGCCAAGTATTTTTTATCACATCACTAATGAAATCCACGACCTTGCGAAACTAAGGTAGTAAAGTACAGTGCCATAGTTTACAGATCTGATTTTTGCTATAGGTCTCGGACCGACATATGCTGTTATATGAAAGTATTGACGTCGGGTATCTCAAAGGATGGTAATTGACTGAGTGATTTATTTGCACTTAAATTGGTCCGTACACGGCGGTCTGCCAAGCAAAGCAGATAGGCAAAAACCCTTACGCGTGTGTCTCTGCCAGCCTGCTGCTGTGTCCGTTGGGAGTAATACTACCCAGCTTTAGAATTAAGCATTAAAATTATGATGGCGGTGATGATGGAGGTGGTGGTGATGACGATGATGTTGCTGGTGGCGGTGGCAATGGTGATGATTCAAGAGGAGAGGGTGACGGAGTGAAGATCATGATGTCTGCAGATGCGAAGGCATTCGTCTCGCAAATACCTTGCAAAGTTCCCGGGATTCATCGTGTGATGTGGGCAGAGGGCTACGAGAAGCTAATGGGATGGTCAAAAAGTCTCTAATGGCGGCGGGCAGTAGGGATTCGCTGTGACGAACAGTCCTGCCTCGAAGAAGTTCGAGCTGACCTGATCTTCTACCGAGACGCACGGCGGCCGATAGGCGAGTCCCCGAAAGAGATTCATTGAGCAATCAGCACAGCACGCAGACTCGAGAAATCTTTCGTCTCTGATCGAGGGGCCGCCAGCCAAGTTTTCTGAGCCGTGCGTGGTACGGCACGTCAGTCGTGCCAGGGACCAGGCGCAAATTTTGCGGGTTGCACGGCGCTGCACGCTCTACAGTCTCTCAATTAGATGTTGTTGAGGGGGAGACCAAACTGCATGCAGAGCAGTATTCCAATGAAGGCAGGACTAAGGATGTATATTGTGCCTGCAGGACCGCTGGCCCACCTGGCCTTGCGACGCGGGTGATGAGGCCAAGCGTCCTGCAAGACTGCGCGATAATGCCGGCAATATGTGCGGAAAAATCCAAGTTTTGGGAAAACGTGACACCTAAGATAGGCAGGTGGTCTGATGTGCGCAGTGGAGTGCCTGCTACAGTATATACAAGGCAATTGTCTGTTTTTTGCAGTTTGAGAAACGTATCACGGAACTCTTGGATGCGCTCAGGCTTAGGTGTTGTCTTGAGATCCATCTCTCTACATCTTCTAGATGGTTTTGCAAGTGACGTGCGTCAGACTGGGACGAAATTGTCATCGCGATTGATGTATCGTCTGCGTATTGCACTAGGATACACTTGTCATTGCGTGGCATGTCGTTCACGAATATGAGAAAGAGCGTCGGAGCGAGGACAGAGCCCTGTGGCACTCCTGATGACATGACCCTCTCTGTAGAGCGTGCCCCACAGTACACAACTTGTTGGCTGCGATTCTGCAGAAAGCTTGATATCCAGGTGAATAGGAAATCGTGTATGCCTGCGTGTGTAAGCTTCTCAAGCAGGAGGTTAATGTCGAGCATATCAAATGCATTGCTTAGGTCAAGTTGGATTAGATCTCTCATGGTTCGATTATCCATGTGATCACTGATAAAATGGGTAATAGTTGCCAGTGCTGATTCGCAGCTGCGACCTCTTCGAAAGCCATTCTGACTGTCGGAGAGATAGCCGGATTCTTCAACGTGGTTGAGAAGCTGGCTGTTAACTATCCTTTCAAATGTTCGACAGACAATCGAGGTGATTGACACAGGACGGTAATGTTTTGGTTCATTCGTCGGCTTCCTTTTCCCTTGTGTAGCGGAGTGACCAAAGCTCATTGCCACGTTCCTGGCACAGTACTACTGTCGAACAGCCTTTGCAGAATCTGGCAGGTGGTCGGCAGCATTAGCGGACAGAGCCTTTTGAACCACGTCGGCGTGGTTCAAAGTTCAAAGAAAGTAATGCCATTGTGAAATTGCTTTCTAAAAGTAGCCGCCTCGGTGGCTCGAGAGCGTCGGCCTACGGATCCCCATGTGGCGGGTTCGAATCCCGGCCGAGGTGCCCGCAATCTGACGGAGGCTTATTGTGGAGAAGACGCCGTGTAACCGAGCTTTCGGTTGCACGTCAAAAGATCCCCAGGTGGTCGAAATTAATCCTCAGTCCTCCGCTGGGGCGTGCCAGATGCCCGTCGTTGGTTTGGCACGTAAAACCCCCAAATTTTTTACTTTCTAAAAGTAATGTAAATTGCAATGAATTACTTTTTGTCCAGTAGTTCTAATTGTAATTACCTTATTTCGGACAAAGGTATAGTTTTGCTTGTTTAGACCACAGCTCTGGGAAGCTGGAGCAAAAGGCGGCAAACGTTGTAACTATAATTAAATTACATTTATGAAGTAATTTACCAAAGTGTGCTGCTAGGCAGATTATAAAACAACCTTTCTTCGGTATATATACACGATTTTGAATAGTTCAACTGCCTGTTAGAGGAGCTCGATTTCCAATTTGAACAGTTTGACTACCAGTTTGAGCAGTTAGCTACCAGTTTGATCAGTTCCACCACAATGCTCTGCTACAAGTTTGAAAAACAGTTTGATTATCAGTGTAACCAGTTCAGTCACCATTTTGAACAGTTTGAATACCAGTAGGACCAGTTCTGCTACCACTTTCACCTGTCTAGCACTCAGTTTAGCCTGTTTGGCAAGTTCAGCTGCCTGTTTCCCCAGTTTGGCAAGTTTTGCTTCCCATTTGGCAAGTTCCGCTGCCTGTTTTGCAATTTTGCTTCCTTTTTGGCAAGTTTAGCAGCCTGTTTGGCCAGTTTTGTTTCCTGTTTAGCCAGTTCGGGAACCTGTTTGGCAGGTTTGGCTGCCTGTTTGGCAAGTTTGTCTGCATGGTTGGCAAGTCTGGCTGCCTGTTTGGCAGGTTAAGGTGCCAGTTTGGCTTGTTAATGTTCCAATTCGGCCAGTTTGTTTTCTTATATCGCCAGTTTAATCAGTTCGATTTCCATTTTGCCCAGTTCAAATTCGGGTATGCCGGGTTGAGAATCATACTGTTTTTTTCAATAGGGTACGAACAAAGATCGAGAGATTCCCAGATAGAGAGTAATGGCAGTTTAATCGGTCGGACAACTAGTCTACGTGAGGAATTTCAGCGGAAGTGGGGCCTTCCATGTAAAACTTGAGTAGAAAAGGCTCTATGTTGGTTGACCAGGAGGTGTCTCTCTGAATACGTTGGATATCAATGCCCTTCAGTGTAAATATAACTAAATCACGAAACTATCTTTTTTCACTTGGCAGCAGCGGCGGTGGCAAACGGCATCATCTAAAAGACTTGTAAATTTCTGCAGATCACGGCAGCATCGCCAGTGCGGGAGCAGTTTTCGCTGCATCGGCACATTCTCAAGCCTGCACGCTCAGCCCTATCATCCGCGGCCTGACCACAGCGCCACTGCAGACAACGACAGTCCGGCTGATTGGTCCACCAGCGTCGACACCACCAGCGGGACCCTACAAAAGCACGGGATCATCTCTTCTGCGTTTTGACTTGGCAGCAGCGGCGGTGGCAAACGGCATCATCTAAAAGACTTGTAAATTTCTGCAGATCACGGCAGCATCGCCAGTGCGGGAGCAGTTTTCGCTGCATCGGCACATTCTCAAGCCTGCACGCTCAGCCCTATCATCCGCGGCCTGACCACAGCGCCACTGCAGACAACGACAGTCCGGCTGACTGGTCCACCAGCGTCGACACCACCAGCGGGACCCTACAAAAGCACGGGATCATCTCTTCTGCGTTTTCACTTGGCAGCAGCGGCGGTGGCAAACGGCATCATCTAAAAGACTTGTAAATTTCTGCAGGTTAGTAACTGTACTTCTCTTTTTGACTTG